TTCAGTGGGTGGATCCAGTTTGGTGGATGGTCAAATTGAGCTGATGCTTCACAGGTTTGTCATAGAGCACGTTACTTTTGTGTTTCTATAGCTCCCTATGTGCTTATCATCTCTAATGTATTTGCACCATTTCCTAGGAGGTTGCTTCATGATGATGTGAGAGGTGTTGGTGAGGTATTAAATGAAACAGTGTGCATCTCTGACAGATGTGAAGGTTTAACTGTAAGCATATCTTTCCAACTTATCATATTAGGAGGACATTCCTTTGAGTCTTATCTTAGCCTAGATTTACTCTCTCTGCTATGGCTGTTATGAAGATGGAATAATGTCTGTGACTGCCTGCCTGTTTGTCTGTCAATCTGCTTCTCTCACTCTGTGAGTTACTTCTGTGGCATAACCATCAGCAAACTCTTGGTATCTAATTCTTTTGCAGATTCAAGGAAAATTTTATCTCCGAATTGATCATATCGGAGAAGGTGCTAAGTGGCGTCGCACTGTTGGCCAGGAGTTATATTCTCCACTTCTTTTAGCCTTTGCAGAGGAGGTGAAGCAGAAACTTAAATTGTCAAATTAGTGACACTTGCCTGCCGAGCTTAACCCATTGGTCTTTGTAAGGACAGGTCCGAGGTGCCAAGCCTCGGACTGCTACAATAATTTCTCTATGACCGAAGTGAGGAATAAATCCAAAGCTTTCCGCTCAAATAGCTGCATGACAATGGCAATGAGCATGCCCGTACCTGATTCCTTATGATGAGTCGCACAGCAAGTATGGTGGACGCTTGCGCATCTGGATACCTCTCAAATTCCCGGTCCCGGAATAATCGTCTGGATGAACACGTCAGGCTCCGATTATCTTGCTTGGCATGCCACGTGGGTAATTACATTGGCGCCGTCTATGGGAACCGAACTGAAAGCTCCTTAGTTGCTCTTCCGTCATGGTTCACACTCGATCGATCCGAGCTGGTAATTCATCTCTGCCTCATGGGCAAGGTCAACCCCCCAACAACCTTCCACCTCTGATCCCACCTCAGATCCCACCTCAATTTCCACCTCAGGTCCCAACCATATTCCCTCCTGTTGATCATGCAGAAGGAGGAGATGAAAACCAACCCCATACCTCAGCTCACAATTCAACTTCCACGGCCAATCAAGACGTGGTGACAGCTCAGCTTGCTGCCATGCAGCAGCAGTTTGGTGTTTTTCAGTTGGTACTGGCTCAGCTTCTAGCTAGAAATAATCCTGGTGATCCCCTCATTAATTTACTAAACCCTGCTCAACAACCCCCAGCTCCACAACAAAATCCCCAACCGGTTCAACCTGCTCCCGCTGTTAGTGAATCCCAAGATCAATCCCACATAGCACCCGCTCAACAACCCATCCCTGATGATGTTACCCGCCGCCGTGATAGCTTAGAAAAGCTGGTAGCTGAACACCGAGGTGCCCCACCCCCACACTATGCTGCTAATTCCATACCTCACCCCTTGAATACCAACATCACGCTGAAACCCTATCCTACTGGCTTCAAAATACCACAATTGGAGACTTATGACGGGACGAAGGACCCTGATGATCACCTGCATGCTTTCTACTCTTGTATGCAAGCTCAGAACGCTTCTGACGCGTTAATGTGCAAAATCTTCCCCTCTACTCTGCGAGGTAATGCT